AGGCATTTCATAGGAAACAGTTCAGTTCCGCTATGATAGAAACAGTATCAACTGAACCACTTGCAATTCATGCATATATAGCTTTAACTCGTAACTCACAGATGAGATCATACTTACAAAGTAACATGCCCAGACAGCAAAACATCCATATGCGGTTCTGCAGGTTTTAAGGGGGCAGAGCAGGATTCTTCAGAAACAGGAATAGACATTTGGTACCAGATTAAATTATCATTGTATTGCATTTGTGAACAAAACATAATTTTCAATTCCTCCTGAGTAACAAGGCATGCCTAGAGTTACACATGGTTGAGGTTTTTGGTTCGGATGTCAGTTCAAAGGTGCTCCAAAAGAATTTTATGCAAGCTTGGAACGAAAACATAATATTCCCACACCTTTAAAACTGACTCACTGGCACTGTCACCTGGGGCAACAGAGTCGTAAGAAAGATGAGGAAATAATCACCTACATAAAGTTTCCTTTGTCAATTCTAGGTCATGCAATGACCAAGCTCTTGAACTGGATACAAGCCTTAAAGTCAGTGACAACGTGGCAAAGCTGAAAAATTTAAACATCTCAGAACGGGGTTGGATGGAAAATTACAATATGTTGGTAAAATCAGCTGATCAATTTGAAACAAAGACGTTCCAGTGGATTTTTATTCATTGTTTATTTTCAAAGAAGATTAGAATTGATTACTGCAATATACTACCCAGAATACGGAGTCTAAATGCCAACCAAACTAATCCTACAGTAAAGACTTGCACAAAGAAAATAGAAATTGTTGGAGAAACTCAGAAGGTCTGGCAGTAACAGTAGAAAGAAGAAAGAGTTGATGTTCTGAGCCCATGACCCTTCTTCAGAACAGACAGCAGCTGGGAAAAGGTGGTATTAAGAGTGCAAGGCGGCAGGTGAGGGGTCATGCGAGTGAGCGGATAGACAGACAATGGGATTGTTGACAGTACGCCAGGGAAGAGGAGAAGCTGGAAGGGTGATTATTGGGACCAAAAAAATGGGTTGGCTGTGCTTAAAGCAACCATGTCATGAGGACCTGAGGTTTGGTGGTGAGAAATAGATATACAGGGTGTTCATGCTCAAAAATCATTAAACACGATGTCGAGTCCTGTAATATCCCCAAACGGAAGGTGAGATGCTGCTCTTCGAGCTTGTATCAAGTCTGGATGGGGCACTGCAGCAGGCTGTAAAAACGTATATTCATTTCTCACATTTATAAGGAGAAAAATTTCTAAAAGAAGCATGGTTAGATAAAAAGACAAATGAAAGGACAATGTATTAATAGGTCATGTGATCAAAAGCTTGGTCAAAGAGATGAGTTTGAAAGACATTCTTAAATATATAGTGGGAAAGAAAGGGATTTAGAAATAAATACAATAGCTTGGGCCCCATCAGGGTGAAGGTAATGGGTGTCAATAGTGCAGCAATGTGAAGATGTGATTTACATAGGGCTAAAACCCAGGAGGAATGGCACATTTGTGATGGAAAGGAATTGCTCAGTTTTAAATATGGTTGCCAACTGCAATTATACATTCCTGGAGGTTTCATCCACAACAAGCTCCAACATGTTCATTCTTGTAATGCTGTCTGCTTACATCAAATGGAAAGACTGGATGATGCTCAACTATCAGCCAAAAATGTTCTTTCCACACCCTTTTCCTCAGTAATTTTAATTTCCTGGTCAGAGAAATATTTTTTTAAAAATGACAAAAAAAATATGTTTCTTATCCCTGCGTTATTTCCACATGTGGGATGGGATTGAGGGTTAGATAATCGAAAAAGGTTAGAAGGATAGAATAAAAAAAGGTTCACTGTTCAAAGGAGGAGACGTAGGCTGAAGTGTAATTTAGTGATAATGCTCACATCACCACCATGGCAGTTTAGGCAGGGTAAGTCTTAAAATTAGGATTCACCAAGAGGCTTTAGTAAAGAGTAAATGGGGAGTTTGAATGGAATGGATCAAAAAAATCTTTAATGTTACAAAATAGGGTATAAATAATTTGTTAACCGTCAAACTACAGATGCAAACCAACAAATACAAAAGCATTTCATAAAGCAAAGGTTAAAATAGCAGAAATTAATTTTAAGCGAATGTTCCTCTCTGGATTAAATGGATAAAGTTTCAATGACCTTCCCTCCATAAAGGTCAGAATTATGAATGTTTACTGACAAGTTCATAACGTCAAGTACCATTCATAACACCTGATATGGAAGCAGTCCATGCAGGATGCAGAAGTCTGAATGTCAAGTAGCAAGTTACAAATTGCATAATACAACTATCAGGCAAGGACCATCTCCGATGAGATGATATAACCCTAGGCATTCTATGGCATTACCATCGCTGAATCACCTACTAACCACATCCAGGGATTGCTGCTAACCTGAAACTAGACCAGCCATATAAATACAAGGAGTTAGGAATTCTGGAACAAGTAACTCATTTCTCTCTCTCCAGTGCCTCTCCTTCATCTACATGACACAAGCCACTTGCTTGGATGAGTGGTAACGTGGGGGGTGGGGGTGGTGCACACTCCAACAACACTCAAGGAGGTTCAACACTATCCATGACAAAGCAACCCACTTGTTTAGCATGCCTTCTATCATCAATCAACACTAATGCACAGTGACAGCTGGATGTACTACGTAGAAGATGCACTACAGTAACTCAAAAAGGTTACTTTGGCAGCCCATTCCAAACCTGCAACCTCTACCACCTAGAAGGACAGGAGTAGCAAGTGCATCGGAACACCATCACCTGCAAGCTTCCTCTGAGTCACAAACCACCTGCCTTGAAGCTATATTGCCTAATTGTTTCGCTATCCCTCAAATCACAGATTATTCAGTGGGTTAAAGCAATAAATCATACAGATCAGAAATATCTCAACTTGATGCCAGAGTTAAACATTCTCAAACATATTAAAATAGGAGATAGTACAATTGGATTTAGTAGTTCTAGGTTAAAAGACACAAAAAGCCACAGTTTCTGCATTGGTCACTTCTAACACGCTTGCTGAAAACTAGAGAGACTGGCTGAGGGTAATATTGCTCAACTTCTATACCCTTCACATTTAAATTTCTGCTGGAGATACCAGAGTTCAATTACCCAATTTTCAACAAGAAACCTTCACAGGTAGAGCTAGATCACAGCCTTTAAAATTGCAAAACAGAAATATAGCAGAGAAAGAAAAATTTCAGCTATAGGGAACCATATAAATTAGCTGCATAAATATCCTTGTCTCCCTAAGTTATGGTGAACAGGAACAAAATGGTGTTGTTCACCTAAAAAGCTGTAATATTTATCTTCATCTGGCCACAACATGGCATCATAAATGTCAAGATAATTTGACAGCAATCAGGAGTCCAAATACTATGTCTACCAGCCACTCTCCCCACAGGATAAGTATCAATTTTAGTGAAATCTGGTATTGAACAATGAATACTGAATTTCTAGTAATTGTTTGTAAAAAAAACTGTTAAACTAGAAGTGAAAACCAAAATTATCAAGAGTGCTGCAGCCACTTGCCTTTAGCATAGTCTAATGACACCTTACTTCTCTACAAATTACCACAATGCCAAAAAAGTTTGGTTTCCTATTTTGTACCAGATATTTATTTTACAAGTTGACCCTACACTCAAACAATACTGTCAACATCTAGGTTTATCTATTAGGAGATGTTTCCATCATCTCAGTTTCTTAATTATAATAATGACTTAACAGCATGCATTTTTAATGACTGGTCTCATCTCCAGAGGCATTAGCGACATTAGAAATCTGTTGAAAGTTAGTGTCAACATCAATCCACTTATAGGAATGACTGAAGTTGTAAATTGACACTGCTACTCACACACAGGAATAAGTTAATGTTTACATTTATTCAGAAAGCATTGACAAATCAGTAGGAAAACTGCTGTACTGTGACAGAACATCTTGAAGACAACCAAACTTTATTCCTTGTACTAAAACGTTCCAAAATAAGCATAGCCTTATGAATCCAGAAGTCATTCTTTATGTGCCATGCCAAAGAGCACTGAGGCACATCTGTTAACGCATTGGTCGTGAATGATTGAAGAAGTGGTTTAGTAATTTAGGCCTTAGTTTCTACGTATCTGTAGCGTCTGCATCCAAATGAGAAATAAAACTGAACAAAAAACTGCATGAAGATCACTGAAGGATGTGCTAAAGATGTTGACAAACTAGTAATTTAATCTTCAGTAGATATTGCAGAATTTTAAAACAAAAACAGATATTGCTGGAGAATTCTTTTATTTCAAACAGCCACTGCTCAGTGCCTTATAACTGCAGAATTTTAAACTTGGTGCAAATTAAATAGATAGCCATAGCAAGCAGTATGGGCATTTAATAGAAAGATATTTTCTTTCCAAGGCAAATAAGAATGACAAAACTTTGAGCAAAAGCTTCTTAGAAGGAACAGACATTAGCCCTTGGATTAAAAACCTTACGACATTTCACAAGAAAGCCTCAAACCAGTGAAAAAATTGCAGCAAAACTGCTGCCTGTGTGCAAAAATACTAAATACGACTGACTTACGTATTACGTTTCAATATTATTTTGTGAATATACTCTTCTCATACTTGCAATACTTTTAAGAAGTTTCCTGAGGGGTTTCATCTGTAGCTAGTAATGCTAAAGGGTTATTTATTAAGGGATTTAATTAGGCTGAATTATTCCAAATACAAAAATGAATAGCTCATAGCATTTACAATAGTATTATTTGGTGTTTTAAAGCTTTTTAAAAATATTTGTAATTCATCTAAGACACCCATTAGTTAGAGTTAAGGCAAGGACCTAGCAACAACTAACACTGGGTCTTGCATATGTATAAAATCAAAAAAATCATGACTGATTGGTCAAAAGCTGAATATCGACGTGCAAATCACCAATTATCTTGTGAGAAATACAAGTTGACATGACAATACCAAGAAAGTAAATCAAAAACATCTAACATGTAAAGAAAAGTTGTAATTACCTTTTTGAAGATTCTTCCACTTGGCTGAATCTCGTCTTCCTCACTAAGAATTTCACGTGTTCCCAAGCAGTTCTTGTGTCTAAAGGCCTCAGTGGCATACTGAAAAATTTTATCTAGGGTGTCAGCACCAGCATACAGACTCGCTAGTAGACGATCTAAACTCTCCACACATCGGTACGGGCCAGCAGGATGGTTACTAATTGATTTTGCTCTTATATTGGGTCTACGCCGTGAACCCCAAAAGAGCTGTAATGGGAGAATAAATACGAGATTGCACACAACAATCATACATTGCAAAAACAATGAAAAGATTGGGTTAACACCCTTCTTCAATTTCATTTTGCTTGGAGGCTTGAAGCTTGCAATCAGAAGTCCAGAATGTCTGTAAGCCTACGAGGCTAAAGGGCTAATACCACTCCAGTTTTGTACCTGAGGGTGGAAAATAGAAGAGGTTAATGTTCTTCACAAAATTACCAGTTAACTGCATTAACCTAAAATCTTACATAAGCCTACATTTTCATGTTCTCATACCAACTGTATTTCATATTCATATAGCATTTTTAAGCATAGAAAAATATTCAAGGTGGTTCGCAAATCCATTAATCACAAGAACTGACAGAGGCCACAAAAAGCTTAATTGAAGAAATAGGCTTTAGAGAAGTCGTAAAAAGGACGCAAGAAAAATGAGTGAAGCAGATGATTAGGAAGAGCAATCTGAAAGATACTGAACAGGTGAATGAAAATCCAGTCACCAACAAGTCGGCAGGGGGGACGGAAAGACAGAGAAAGGAGAAGCTGGCACTCCTGGAAGAACAAGAGGACAATGCTATAAAGGAGTTTTTGGGATATATGTCAAACTTTAAATTGACTCAGTATCCATACAGAACATTTCTGGTTGTGCCCCAGATTTCCATCACTACTTGCATGAATGGGTATGCACTTTTTCATGGCTTTAACATATGGAAGTGAATGTTAAACTGGAGGGTACTGATATAGGTCAATTTATAGGATATTTTGAACAGATTAAGATATAAAGGAACAGTTTCGGGTTCACATTTAAAGGAAGGTGGCAAGTTACATAGCAGTGTTTTCCAATTGTAAAGTTTGAAGATGACAAAACAAACACTATTTCAATAGCATATGGGTTATGGCACAACCAAGAAACTAGATTTTATATTTTTCCAAAGTGGTAATACACATGCACCTTCCGCTAAATAAATCCAAATCTAGAGCATTGATTATAGATGTAGGATTTTGTTGCCTTCTTTACAGATGTAGAAACTGTAGTCAGCTATTCAGATACATCATGGCAAATTCATTCCTCCACTCCACTTACTTGCTTATGCACCATAATTGTTGACACTCGTATTTAACAAGTATCTAGAGTTTTGGGGAATTTAAATTGTCCCAGGTTTGAGTCACTCACCCAGAAATATTACATATGGATACTGTCACCATTTGCATGGCTGGGTATGCACTTGATGGTCTTGCTCTCATTTCTTCTGATTTCCCCCAGCCCAAGGAAAAATTTCTCTACGTATACCTTATCAACTTCCATTACTATTTTTACCCAACTTAATTAGATCACGTCTTAGCCTTACAAATTCAAGGAAATACCAGCCACTTTAATACAAATGTCCATCAATTTAACCATTCTAGTCCTATGTTATAATTTCCCTAAAGCAAATAAAACTTTCCAGAGAGTTGGTACCTGAAACTGAACTTTGTCTGACCAAAGTTTTGTACCATTAAAACATCCTTTTTTCACCTTTTGGGTACAGATTCTCTCAAGTTTTAAGACCTAAATTTCATTGGCCTTTTTTCCTTAATTTTCATACCTGTGCATTAGATGGCAGGGGATGTTGGTTGGGGGAAGGTTGGCTTAAGGACAGGAGATTGCCTGATGGCTTATCTACCATTGTAATATGGAGGACTGATGGAAAAGCAGTGTGTGCCTTCTAACACTACTCACTGTTGATATCTCAACTAATTCCTGACAACATTACCTCCAGTTCTGTGTGTTTTTATTTTTAAACAAAGATCCTCAAAAATCTTTTGAAATCCAAAAACAACATCCAAGTACATGTCTCATCCATCACACTAGTGAATTCCTCAAAAGACATGACCTATTCTTCACAAATCTATAAAATAACTTAATAAGTGCTCAGTAATTTTGTCTCTAATGTGGATATTAGAAACTTCCCATTGAGAGCTCTGCACTTCCTTCAGCACTCCCCTTCCCTCAAATAACAAAGCAATTTTCCCAAGTCAAATACACAATTCTTGAATCCTAGGCTCTTTAGAAAATTATAAAACAATTAAATCTCTGCAACCACTTCTTTTAATATTGTGGATGGAATTCATCAGGTTCTGGAGATCCATTTACTCAAGTTTGAATAATTGCTCCATTTTTTAAAAAAGGTATCCTAAAGGTTTTCCCGTTGACTTACTTTTGGATTGCCTTCCATCGCTGGTATTTTATACATGCCCTACATTAATGTTAAGGGGGCTATATAAAAGCAATTTATTTTTGTTGAAAATGCATACACAGACCTCATTTAGTGAATTTTTGCTAATTTCTTATTTATATATAGTCTTGCCTACATCTGTACTTGTTTGATTGACTGTGTCATGCTCCATTACTTTTCTCTTCACATACTTCACAAAACTTTAGTTGAAAGTTTGACATTCCTTAATTTATTCTCCATATTCTTTTGTTTATCTCCTACTATCATACCTGCTTTGTACCAATTTTCAAACTTTTTTTATAGTTCTTTGGGTCCTTACATTTTCACTTTTTCTTGCAACCGTGCGAGAGTCTTTCACCTTGACACTTTATCTGAAGGCATTAGTTTACTATAGTTGCTTATCGTACATAAGTACAAGTAAGAACCTTTTCTTTTTTTAAAAAAAGGAATTTGCTGCTTTTGTTCCATACCAAATAATTAATTGAATATTTTGCACTGTCCGTAGGATTACCAATTAATTCAGCCCAGTTTCCTAACGATTAATCTCTCCTCTTTCAATTGGCACAATTTAAACTTTTGTGCAGTTCTCTGTTCTCCCTCTCAAAACCAATCTTGTTGTGGTCAACAATGAGCAATCTTGTTTGTTGTTCACCATTAAAATAAGGCTCTTTTCTCAAATACTACAAGCATACCCTTGACTTCTTGGAGGATGCTACAAACAGAATTTTCTTCCATTGAAATGTGATCACTCAAATCAGTCTTGAAGATACTACGGACTAAACTAATAAGGAACAAAGGGTCAAAATATCTAGCAAAGCTTGTGAAATGTGCAGTGTTAAACATGATGGAAATGTCATGCGGGGTGTTATAGAATTCAGTGCTTATTTCTATGTCAGACATGACTCATTTGGGATCATTGCTGCCATTGAGATCACGGGTTCCAGATCCAATTCCACTTCACAGCACAAGTACAAAAATCAGGGTTGACACTTCACTCAGTACTAAGTGACTGCTGTACTTTTGGAGGGGCCATCTTTCACATGTGACATTAAACCAATATCCAATTATGCAGTCAGGAAAAAGATCATATGACACTATCTTGACTAAAAGCATAGTTATCCCAAGTGTCCTAGCCAATATTACTCTCTCAATCAAACACAAACAAACAAACTTGGATCATTACCATATTGATATTGGTGGAAAATCTGTCACTTGTCACTTTGACCACGTCAAAAAGTACTTAATTGGCTGTAAAGCATTGAGACTGGTGATGTTTTACCTTTTCTAATAACTTAAATGTCAAAGCTAGTTAAGACATTCATAAACAACACTAAAGTAGCAAACTGGAGTACTGCACTAGATAATGACATCAACATTTTGTGGGAGGAATTATACCGAGCACATAAGGGAGACAAATGGCAAACTAACTCCAATACCAAGCATGACTAATATTACTTAACTGTAGAAAAATAAGCAACATGGAATTACAATGATAGGGAAAAAAAATTGCTGGGACAAACTGTAAAATGAACATGCACGTACCGACAGACATGTACTTCTTACTTGTACTACTTCCTAGGTAATGTGAAAAAACAACTTGGACTAATCTGTAGCCAGAACAGTGAAGCTTATGTCAATAAGATTACACCTTATTTTGCTCTAATCAAACCACACCCCAAGGACTATGTACTGCTTTAACTGCCATACTTTAGAAGGAACATACAGTATAGGCACTGCAAAAAGACAATGATCACAAATGGAGGAAGAATGTACAATGGGGACATGTGTGTTCAAGGAAACTCATCAAGACACAAAGTAGTAATAGGCAAGTTGAACCTGAATATTATGGCAGGCTAAGATAACAAGTGATTAAAACATAAATTTTAAATAAACATTTTTAGAAAGGATAGAAAAGTTAGATCAGGTATCTGCTGTCAATAGGATATTGACAGGTGATGAGTTGAAAGACTTCTTTGAGCAATAATTTCTATAATAATTTGAAATAACCTTCCAGTTACAACAGCAGAGTTAAGGACACAGAGGGCCCTCAAAACACAGTTGAATGCTAGGCTCACCAAATTACATTCCAAATGAACAAGCTTTAACAGACCCATTTTTTCTTTTGTTCTACCCACAAAACTTTCATTTCAGCCAGCGATGTTGATAAGAAACGTTTTATTCATTCATACAATTTAAACATAATTTACTGACCGAATCTCACCCCCATGAATTCAAATTGAAAATTATTTCTGGTTTAATTAAAAGTACACAGTTATTGACTTGAAGGAGGTATAAATAACACAAAAATTTATCGGAAAGGTTGCCCATAATGAAAGCAGTGTAATAGTAAAAGGAATAGCTAAAATAGATAGATAGTAGCCCAATGAAAAAATCCTGCGCCTCAAGTGATTTCTCAACAGGGTTTATTGATTGTCATACCAACACTTGTGCTACAGTTGGGAAAATTCAACTTCAGTAGCTAACAACATTTAAAACACAAGTATAGATTACATTCATCGTTATGGAATGTGTGTCAGATCCTGGAGTTCTTTACAACTATGACTTAACACACTGTGATGCCAAATATTTAGTTTGCTATTTGACAGCAAACACAATTTGAATATTCAACTTCTTTAGCCAAGTAATTTGTCATTACTCACTAAATGCCTATATATTTTTTAAAAATTGGTTAACATTCCTGACAAAAAAAAACTGGAGACCAATGGGACTGGCAACTATGTGAAGTCAGACAACCAGAATAACAATTTCCCACCATTTCTTGCATTGTAATCAGCTATGATAGGGTCAACACTGTTTCACAATAAAGGCAATTGCAAACATAAACATTGGTAGTACTTTTTTCCACTATTGTTAAATGCCTGCTGGTTCTCAAATCATAATACCATTTTTAGAGTTTTCTTATGCAGCATAATTGAAAACAAAGATATTAAACAAAGTCAC